ACACCCTCCCAGCCCCGCCCCCACGGGCCCCAGCCACCCCTCCCTGCCCCGCTATGCACTGACCGTCCATCTCCACTAGAAGCTGGTTGAGCGTTTGTTCCTCCTCCGTGTTGGAGAAGCTGGACATGGTAGTGGAGCGCTTCTTGCCCACGGCGTCGATCTCATCAATGTACACAATGCAGGGAGCCCGGTTGCGGGCTTCCTTGAAGAGGCTCCGTACCCGGGCAGCACCAAGGCCTGTGGAACAGAGAGACTGAGAGTCAGAAACAGGCATGCTGGACTCCACCCTAAGAAGCCTCCTCGCCCGGTGCCAACACTGCCGTCTTCCAGGTTGAGGGAGTCACATACTCTGACACCCAACTTTCACAGCCTACAGGGACCACAGCCTGATGCTCCCTTCTCAGAGGACTTTGTCATTTCCCTCCCACGTCACCCTCAAGAAAGAAAGCAAGAAAGGGTTGCTGGGCCAGCAGACACATACCTCCGATGACCTCCACAAATTCAGGGCCGGCCATGGCTAAGAAGGGCACCTGGGCCTCAGTGGCCACTGCCTTGGCCAGCAGGGTTTTCCCACAACCAGGGGGGCCGAGCAGCAGTGCGCCCTTTGGGACCTTAGCTCCAAGCTGGAGGAAACGCTCTGGGCTCTGGAACAGGCAAAAAACTGGTATCTGAATTTGTGTCTCAGCTAGGATGCTCAAAGGGGACCAGCATGACCTCCGCCACCTCCTGTCCTTTGGCGGACAGGCCACCCCAGCCACCCAGTGTTGATGCTTTATGACAACTGGGTTCTCAGAGCCCTTCACCTTTAAAAACCAGACACACGTCTGTCAATGAAAGTCCCAGGAGTCCACTGTCTGGGGCGTCCTATCAGGGAGCCGCAGCGGGGCCTCCCGGTTGCTTATATGCTGCTTAAGGCTCTCTGCTCACTCACACACGTTCTCACCTTCAGATAATCCACAAACTCCTTAACTTCTAGCTTGGCTTCGTGCATCCCTGCCACATCTTTGAAGCTGATTCCCTTGCCCATCTTCCCATCCACAACAGTGAAACGAGCCATTTTCAGTTGATTCTATGCAGAAAAGATCCAAAGAGTAAAGCAGAAGGAACTGCTATCCAGCAGAGAGGGTTACTGGTGCCTCTGCCTCTGAGACCAGTCATCCCATTCACAAGTGAGAGGACACTCAGTCCCCCAACAGCTGAGACTCAGCCTCCTCACCCACAGATGGCAGGACACTCAAGTCGCCGTCCATCTGTGACTCGGCTGTCCTGTCCACAGCTAACAGGACATTCAGTCCCTCCACATCTGAGACCCAGTCAGGACTGTCCCCGGGTTGGTCATCAGACACATACTCAGAGGACTTCATCACAGGATTAAGGACAACGACGAAGGCACCAGGCTGGACATGTGATGATAATCACAGAGCTAGTGAGTGACCACGCTGCCGCTGGGCTCACGGTGCAAGGGGCTGCTGTGACCAGCTCTATTCTCTCTGCGCTGACTGGCTGTATCCCCTTCCCTGCTCATGTCGGGAGGGAGGACACTTTCTGCAGACTGTCACCATAGCAGGTGGGCACTGCAGAAATGTATGAAGGGTGTTCTTCTGAGCTAATAGGGAAACTAACACACTGTCAATCCTCTGACCTGGACAGGGCCAAATAACGCGCGCCCTCCCCGCACTCAGCTTAGGGAGGGCTGCGGGCACAGCGCCTTCTGCCAGAGGGAAGAGGAGGGAGTTTACGCTGCTGCAGACTAATCCTGTCGTCCATGAGGCAGGTACCTGGCAACATAGCCACAGGCTGTTGAAGGAGATGTGCAACTTACGAAAGCGCTGAATCCACCTTCCCTGCCCGTCATCCCAGCAAGGCGGAAGATGTACCACAGGATCGCCAGGCCCACAGCTGTCATCCCCAGGGCGTAGAGAGCACTAACATGACAAAGGGCAGGGGCAAGTTACTGATATCACGGCCATCACCTGGCCACTAACAGACTACCTGGACACCTGACAAGGTGAGAAAAGCAACACCGAACTCTGAAAGCAGCCAGCAGAACAGAATGCAGTGTGCCCAGGAAGAGCGACTTTGATGTTTTTAATAAGAAGCTGGTCATGCTGATTGCTCAGCAAGGCAAACCAACACAGCAGTAACCAAGGTAACTCAACGCTGGTGCCGGGGCCCTAGGAGGCTCCTGTCATCAACTAATCATTCAGGAGCAACGAGAGCAAAGTCCTGGGCCACGGACTCAAGTCCAGGCTGTCATCACACCATGTCCACCCCACTGCAAGGTGATGCAGGGGGCTGGGGTACAACCATCCACTCCTGCACATCTCTCCCTCCACAAGTCCAAGACCAGGACTGCTCCTGGGAACCCCGGCTCCACCCTCCCGTTCCATTTCCTATCTGTAGAAGACAGCAGTTCCACGGTGGGTTCACTCCCCCTAGTCGGTTAATTCCTATACCCAGGAGTTCTGGTCTCAAGAGGTGAGGCCAGCTGGAGACACTGCCTGTTCCCCATGACCTCATCACACGAGCCCAGAGCTGAACACACACTTTCCAAAGAATCCCGTTCGCTTGTAAGAGACTGGGATCCTATCCTTGACTTCAATATTCAGCTCATCTTCAGCCGCTCGAAGCTTCTCTTCAAATTTGTCAATGTTTGCAACCTGCATCCGGTACATCAACGCCAGCCGCTGGGGGCACAACACAGAGGGCACCATGAGAAGCAAGCAGAGAGGAGAGCTGCCCCCACCCAGTCTATGATGTTTTATAGACACACTGGCTTTCTGGAAGAGGGGCCTTCATCTGTCACAAAAAAAGAACCCCCAAGTCTGTAAGTGTTTTCATTTTCTCAAATACAATCAGATGGACTTTTTGTATGTTCTACTAATAAGGAAGGTGTAGGGAATGGGGTGGGATGTGGCTTCTTAAACTGCCCACCTGCTGGCCCGGACCTAGGTCTCAGCAGAGCTGTGTGCCGAGCGTGGGGACCACATTCAGTGACATGAGATGTCACTGGGGGGCACAAACTGCTTTACAGCTAAAGACACTCACATGGGGTTTTCGAAGTCTAACATGGAAAACAGAACAAACGGGAGGCAAGTCTGAATTAAGAAGGGTCCTGATGAGAGTCTGCAGTTCAACACCCATGACAGCTGCATCCCCCAACCCTGACGGCACATCTTGCTCACCGGCCGCCCGAACACTACGGCCCCGGGGTGCAGGAAGACCTCCACCACGTCGTTCTCGGGTACCACCTGCACACGCTGCACCTCACCCTTGGCCAACATCTCATTAACAAAGTCGTTCCAGGAGATGTTGCCACCACTAGAACTGAGGGAGTTGAGCAGGCTCATGATGACCGCGATGACAAATAGGGTGCGCAGCCGCTCACGGTACATCTGGTCTTCTCGCTCTTTCCGCTTCCTTTCGTCTGTCACGGGAGACAGAGACACACAGTGAGCTCAGACTGGACCTCTGGGTCGGTGAGTTCACTGGGGCTAGAAGTGCTGACTGCGCTATTGTGGAGAGATCAGGCATGGGAAGGGCATCTACGTGTCCCAAGAGCTACCACACAAAGCATTTCCGAGGGGGCTTGGGCCCACTGCATGTCAGGATCACAGGAGTGAAACTAGGCAGGCGCCACTTGTGTGGGTGTAAGACCCTCCTCTAGGGCGCTCAGGGACTTTCCTATGCCAACCGAGCTGAATGACACACACCTCGAGCAACACCTCCTCCGCGCGACACACACCCACATCCCATCTCCTTGTGACGTATCACCTCTCCGCAGCACACACTGGCTACCACCTGGCTAGCATACACAGTAAGTAGCTTAGCACAGAATTAACAGGAACCTCTTTTGATAACCACAAGCCTGTGTCCCTCACTAGAGCCAGCACTGTCTGGTCCGCCTGTCTCAGGTGTTCTGACTACTGCAGGACACAGCAGTGGGGTTGCATTTCTGAGAGGTTAGGAGCAGCTCAGGCCTGCAGGGGGCAGGTGTCCAGCCATCCTGGATCCAGGTGGTTTCATGAGGCTTAGCCCAGAATGATCACACTAAGACAAGCAGAGGCAGTGCTATTGAGGAACATCAGACAATGTACCTTCATCATCTTCAGGTGACTTCGTCCTGGATTTGTCACCGTCCTTACTCTTCTGCTTCATCCTTGAGGTGTTAAAATAGTAGGTGCTGCCTGCAAAGAACAGTAAATAAACTTACCAGCCTAGGTTTCAACTCACAGGGAAAGAGCATGTCCTCAAATGACCAAAGCGAAACAGAAACCAGCTGAAAAACTCTGTCCGTAAGAGTTAGACGTTTATGAAGATGGCAAAGCATTTCCTGCTGTCATTCTCAGTACTGTTGCTGCTAAGTGTCATGACAGGACCCCTTAACCTGGGGGACAGACGTGCACGCAGCAGCGGCCAGTGCCCTCCCTCACCATGCATCCACCAGGAGTCAGAATCGCTCACTTTGTCCCCGCTACAACAGGATAAACGAAGGAATGAAATGACAGTGTGGACCTTTAAGGTCCTTGGGTGTCTCCTTAAAGGCACACTGTTGTTGTTAAGTGCTGCTGACTCAGTTCTGACCCTTAGCGATGCTGTATAAGGTTTCTGGGAGCAGCTGGTGAACTTGAACCACCAACCTTACAGTTCAAACCGACTTTGCAGTCCGGTGCGTTAACCCACAGCACCACACCGGAACTCCTAAGGCATATTGTTGTTGTTGTTAAGTGCTATTGAGTTGGTTCTGACCCATAGAGACCCAGTGTAGGGTTTCTGAGGAGCAGGTGGTAAGCTTGAATCACCGACCTTGTGGTTCAAACTGACTTTATAGCCCAGTGCATTAGTATTGACTTTACATCAACAGCTTCACACCTGGATTCTAAATGCATTATTAAGTGACAGGCTTTTTTAACCATTTGGGAACACAATGGCTCCATGTGATAAGCACTGGACAGTGAACCATAAGGTCTACAGTTCAAGCCTGCCAGCTGCTACACAGGAGAAAGATGAGTCTTTCTGCTTTGGCAGAGATTAAAACAGCCTCAGAAACCCTACACTGGTCTCTATGGGTCAGAACCGACTCAACGGCACTTACCAACAACAAAATTCTAACCTTCGGCATATAAAATATCCAGAGCCATTTGGCAGGTCTTTATTAAAGGTTCTTGGAGCTGATGAGATATCAGGGAAATTTTTTTCAAACAGCTCAATTCTTAATAAATACCAGAATTTTTTTTTTTTTTTAAGCCAACTTATAACTAAATAAGGAAAAACGGCCTATTCAGATCTTAGATACACTCCCTTTTCCTGCCTTCATTTCAGAGCCTCTGAGGACTGGGACTCATTACAAACAGAAGCCAAAGGAACTCTTCATGCCGAAGAAATGGGCAGATGTTTTCCTTTTCTCAACATCAAACCAGCGCCATTGTCCTATTTGTTCACAGACACCCAGGAGGCCCAGAGCTGTTAGTCAGATAGAGAAAACATGCCCCACCTTGTCATTTCTTTCAATATGCACACACCTAAAAGTTCCCAGAGTCTGACTGGGTTTTGAGTTAGATGCTGTTTCAGTAAGAATCCACTGATCCCTTGAAAGGTAGGGGTCAGTCGCAATTGTAAGCTCTGAAAAAAAACACAACAACCAAAGATTACACCAAGGACACAACACACTGAAGCAATGTACACATGGGAAGTAAAGCGAACACGATTTCAGTCACAAGATGAAATCAAAAGCAGGTGAAACGCAACCACACACAGGACGCGGGGTGCACTGGCTGTAGCAGCACACCATACCCTGGTAGGACTGCGCGGGACAGCTGGCTCCTCAATGCTCAAAGGGCAGCAGAAGCTTTGCTCTTGACGTCTCCAGAGAATAATGGCTGGGAAGACATTCCTAGGCACCGAAGCAAGTTTACCAGTCTGACTCCCAACTTGCTTTTCAAGGTGAGCGTTTTCCCACGTGTTTTATATTTTTAAGGTCAACAGTCCAATGTTATTTTTCCTATTTCTTGTCATTTCCTCACTTCTGATATGCGGTTTGTTTGCCCTTAGCTCATCTCTGCTCTGCTGCTGCTGTTATAGGCACAGTGACACCTTGCTCCAAGCTGTTTGCTGAGGAGTACATGTCCCTTCCTGTTAACAACAGGATGAAGCTGCTGCATGTACTGATGGCCTGCTAAACTATTATTAATAATAGCAATACTACCACTCTTGGCCCAGCGGTAACCAGAAGAGTCAGATACAGGGGCCACTTAAGGGGGCTTCAGAGGGGTATGAGCTATAAAGCAAAGGAACTCCTTTCTTCATTACCAGTCCCAAATGTCTGCGTGCTTACATTGCTGAGAGAATCCGGCCAGACCAGTGAGTGTGAACTGCCAATCTCAACTTTCATATTCACAAAGGCACACTATCAGACTAAAGAGAAGAGAGTACTTTCCTTCTCAACAGAACTTACAACCACCACCAAAGAGAACACGTAGATTTTCTGGGGACCCCAGAAGGAGCTGCTCCTCTTTTCTGCTCAGCGCAGCCATGACTTGTGCTCCCATGAAGAATGTTGAGCATGTGGCTCCCCCAAAGCACTGGGTACTTGACAAACTGACTGTAGTGATTGCTCCTCGTGCCCACAAGCTGAGAATGCCTCCCACTGAGCCTTTTCCTAAGGAATGGAATGCCCTGACGGGAAATGAAGTTTAAAAGATACACAAGTAGCCGTTCATTAAAATTGACTGCAAGGTCCGAACTGATACAGCCTATCTTGCTGGTTTTATGGATGTCATCAGCACTGACAAAACTGGAGAGAATTTCCTTCTAATCTATGACAGCAAGGGATGATTAATCTTCATATCATATTATACCTCAGGAGGTGAAGTACAAATTGTGCAAAGTAAGAAAGATCTTTGTGGGCCCAAAAGGGATCCCTCACCTGGTGACTCATGATGTGCGCATCATATGGTACCCTGTTCCCCTCATCAAGGTGAATGATATCACTCAGACTGATGTGGATACTGGAAAGATTACTGATCTCATCACGTTGGGCACTGGAGACCTCTGGATGGTGACTGGAGGTGCCAACCTGGGAGGAACTGGCACCATCAGACAGAGACGTCCTGGCTCTTCTGATGTGGTTCATGTGAAAGATGCCAATGGCAACACCACTGCCACCAGACTTCCAGTATTTTCATTATTAGCAAAGGCAACAAACCATGGATTTCTCTTCCTCAAGGAAAAGGTATCCACCTTACCACTGCTGAAGAGAGAGACAAGAGACTGGCTGCCAAGCAGAACAGTGGGTGAAATGATCTCTGTTGTTGTTGTTAAGTGCTGTCGAGTCAATTCCAACCCAAAGTGACCCTGTATAGGGTTTCCAAGGAGCAGTTGGTGACTTTGAACCACAGACCTTGCAGTTCAAATGACTTTGCAGTCTGATGCATTAGCCCACAGAGCCACACCAGAAATGATCTCTAGGTGATGTGAATGAACAGATCTTTGCATAATTAAGATAATAAACACAAGATTAAAGAAAAAAAAAAGAACATGCAGTAAATCTATGTTGTTGTTGTTGTTGTGAAGTACCGTCAAGTTGGTTCTGACCCATAGCGACCCTGTACAGGGTTTCTGAGGAGCAGCTGGTGAGCTTGAACTGCCAACCTTGCAGTCTGGCACATTAACCCACAACGCCATACCAGGACTCCAGTAGTTGCCTCATATTCAGGAATGCTAACTAGTAATCTAAAATATAGTACAACAATTCAAACTGGTTCTCACAAATTATGGTAAACTATAAAATAATAAAGTATAGCCTGAAATGTAAGGGTTGAACTGCTAAGGAAGAGTTAGGAGATTAAATAGAAGGCAGCCAAAATGATACAAAGGACTCAAGACCTTTTCTTGTTTTCAGCTCACAGTCAGCAGTTCGAAACTACTAGCTAGCTGTTCTGCGGGAGAAAGAGGAGGTTTTCTGCTCCCGTAAAGATTTACAGCCTCGGAAACCCTGCGCAGGGTCGCTGAGTCGGAACCGACTCCATGGCACATAACAACAACAACAATCTTAGTACAGAAGACGGGTTCAGTGGTAGCATTCTCACCCTACATGTATGAGAACGGGTTTAATTCCCAGCCAATACACCTTATGTCCAACCACCAGCCACCTGTCAGGGGGGCCTGGCGTGTTGCTATGATGAACAGGTTTCAGTGAAGCTTCCAGACTAAAAGAGAATAGGAAGGAAGACCTACTGATCTACTTGTGAAACTCAGCCAACGAACACCCTCTGGATCACAACAGTCTAAATGGTAACTGACCATGGGGATGGAACTCACCATTTTGCTACTTGGCACCATATAAAGTAGTTCGTTGGCTGGTCTTCCTTGGGTCAAGGTATCTTATTAGTGACTCAACACTGGTAACTGACAGGAATGGTTGACCACTCTGTTTTGGTAGCCAGATGACACCAGGTAAGGTAAACCTGTTTTTAACCTTATGCATAAGGTTAATGCACTTCTTAATCATGGCTGTTTTATTATTCATCTCTATGAAAATCGCTGTGACTAAGGAAAGAAGTTTCCAGTTTCACTCTTTTTTCTGCTGTGCATGGGGGGTCACCTTGTGGTAGGAGCTGACAGAAGTCAGCTAACAACAGCCTTTAGAAGAACTTGGGGCCTCTCCACATGAGAGGTGCTAAATAGTTAATAAATGAAGATGACACATGTAATGTGTCAAACCACACTAGGAAGATTTAAAAAAAGCCACATGGCATTCTGCTCATACAAAAACCTGTGCAACAGCAAACTACCATTTGGAAGGCACTGGAATTCATCCTGACGCCCTAGCTGTGAAAGCCAACTGTAAAGACGTTCTCTCTGCTACACACTGCTGATGCTCTTAATGGATTCGACTGCAAAACGGCAGGGAGAAGATATCCGTAAGGGTTGAGCAGACCACGTTCAGGTTTGTGTGGTTGTGCCAAGTCTCTCCCGGGTCTGTCCTGCCTGGGCTATAAGTTTCAGTTACTTCACATCACTGAGACGAGTGGGTAAAACCTCCAGCATCTAACTAGGAAACACAAGCCCTCCGAAAGCAGCATCCAAGACATCCTGAATGGGCGGAACAGCCGTGAGATCGGGCAAAGGCATCCCAGATCTCACGCTGGGTGTCCAGGGCATGGGTGTGAACACCGCGTAACCTGCGGGACGCTTGATGGCCTGGAACCCTAGCCCACTACCGGCGCGGAAGGCCAGCGAGCCGAGGGATTACCTGCAGGGCTCGGCCTCCAGCCCCGGTTTGACCCCCCGGAGGCCCATGAGCGAAGTATGGCCGCCTCCTCCCGACCCCGGCAGCAAGGCCTGAGCTCCAGCCCGAGCCTGAGCTCCGCAACCGCCCGGGCCCCGGACCGGTCCCCGGGCCCTGGCGAAGGATGCGTAAGAGCAGCAACGGGGCTGCCATGTTAGCCCGGACAAGACGCATGCGTGATCGGGCTTCAGAGACGCATGCGCGGTCGGGTCGTCTGCGCGGTCGGGTTGTCTGCACAGTCGGAATCGCAAAGGCTCCGCCCATCCGTGGACGATTGGGCTTTCCCCGAGAGCGAGCGATGGCGGTGCGGGCCGCCTCCCTTTCCTGATACCTCGCGTTCTACTCAAGTTTCCTCACAATTTATTGACACCCTACTAAGCGGCAGGCGCCAGAAGTACATGAGTGAAGCCGGCAGGCGCAGCCCTTGCCTTCAGGAGGCTGCACGGGCGGGCGCAGAGAGCACACGCCGTAGTAGCGTAAACCCTGGGAAAACGGGAGCGTTGGCGTCGCCCGTCGCCCCTCGATTTTCGGCGGCTCGACATGCCGCGTCCGCCCTTCTCCCTGGTCCGCTGCCTGGGACTCCGCGCGCGCGCAGGAAGCAGGGGGTGGGTTTCTTTGGGCGTTTTCTGAGAAAACTCCATCTTATTTTCGGTTAAGACCTGGCGAAGGAGTGGGTGGTTAGGTTGATGCGTGGTTTTAACACTGACCTACTTAAGTGGAGTTGATTTTGTTAGGGTTCCCCCAAGTCTGCAACTTTGGGAGCCATTTCACGTCTTACTAGCACTTTCAGAGGGGTTTCTTATGTGTAATCGAAGGAACAAGTGCATGGAGCTGACCCATGCTTTGAGTTAAGTGGCGTCGAGTCGGTTCCGACCCATAGCGACCCTGTAAGGCGTTTCCGAGCATCAGCTGGTGAGCTTGAACAGCCGACCTTGCAATTCAAACCGACTTTGCAGTCCAGTGCATTAACCCACAGCACCACGCCAGGACTCCTTTGCGTAGAAATACTAAAGTACTCCACCCAGACCTGGTTTCTGTATCTTAGAAGAGAGGTAGACGTGGGGACTGCCTTGAGACCCCCTCCCAGAGTCAGAAATCGAGTTAACGTTGCCATTTATTGGCTTAAAGAGGGCTGGTTAAAATAAGCATACTTGCACTATTCTATAGGAAAGTGACAGTTGTTTTCCTTCATCGTGATCCCTTCCCACTCAACCCCCCAAATAAGGGTGCCCGAACTGCAGCAGGGTGTTACGTAAGCACTTTACAACTGAATATTCCTTCTACACATCTTTAATTAAAAATCCTCACCATTGAACCAATAAATAACATTCTTATCAACGGAGAAAAGATTGAAGTTGTCAAGGACTTCATTCTTCTTGGATCAACTATCAACACTCACGGAAGCAGCAGTCAAGAGATCAAACAACGTATTGGCATTAGGCAAATCTGCTGCACAAGACCTTTTTAAAGTGTTGAAGAGCAAAGATGTCAACTTGAGGACTCAGGTTCACCTTACCCAAGCCATGGTGTTTTCAATAACCTCAGATGCATGCGGAAACTGGACAGTGAATAAAGAAGACTAGAACAATTGACGCTTTTGAGTTATGGTGCTGGAGGTGAATATAGAAAGTGCCATGGACTGCCAAAAGAACCAACAGATCTGTGTTGGAAGAAGTGCAGCCAGAGTGTTCCTTGGAGGCCAAGATGGCCCAACTTCGTCTCTCATACTTTGGACATATTGTCAGAAGAGACCAGTCACTGGAGAAGGACATCATGATTGGCAAGGTGGAGGATCAGAGGAAAATAGGAAGACCTCCCAACGAGATGGATTAGCCAAGTGGTAGCATCGGCGGACTCAAGCGTGGCAACAGTGGTGAGGTTGGCCCAGGATCGGTCAGTGTTTCGTTCTGCTGTGCATAAGGTTGCTTTGGGTCGGTACAGACTCGATGGCACCTAACAACAACCATCTTAGAACATTTTAGCTATTTTCTCTGAGAGGCAAGTTGATGAGCTGACTCATTTCTGGAAGTCATTTACAGCTAGAGCAATCAACCATTGAGCCCAGCCAGGATCATGGCTCAGAAGACACACAAGTCTATTTATGGGCAATGAAGGTGAAGGGATCTCTTATTTCATGTTTTGTTACACTTTTCTGGTCAGGAAGTGTACATCCTGGGTGTTAGATTCTAGGTGTTAATGAAGCTCAGAGTCCACCACTTGCAGCAGCTTGGAATTTTCCCTCCCTGCCTGCCAGTTCTTGTTGTTGTTGTTGTCAGGTGCCATCGAGTCGGAACCGACTTATAGCGACTCCAGTTCTAGGGACCTCTTATTCCCATAGTTTCCTTAGTTCTAAAATGCCACTTGTACCTTCATTTGCTTAGCTCTGTAATGGCTAATTGTTTAAATTTGAAATGTTTATTAAATGAAAAAGGCAAAGGCTGTTGTTACGTGCCTTCGAGTCAGGTCTGACTCACAGCGAACCTGCATAGGGTTTCCAAGGCTGTACATCTTTGCTGGACTGTAAAGCCTCATCTTTCTCCCTTTGATGGGCTTGAACTACCCATCTATTTTTTTAAGTTTTATTGAGAATTATGTGACAGTTTACATGGGAGAACATCAGTTTTACATTCATCCTATCGTATATTGTTTCACTGGCATGGTTACAATCCCCTCTACGCATCACCAATCAATGAAAGGGTACATCCTATAAGCCTGCTTCCACACACCCCCTCCCTGGGTCCTGAGTCCCCAGTTGCTCCAGCTCTCCACGTCATCATCTCTGCCTCCATCTAGGGGATTGCCGCCTCTTGGTAGGGTTCCGCTCTCCGCTCTTCTGCCTTCATGGTTCCAGGGACCTCTGCTCCTAGCCTACAAAGTTAATCACTCCCCTCCTTGCCACAAAATGTCTACTTTTTCATTTACAACCTTCACAATCAGTCCTGGTAACATTTATTCACCCTTGTATCACAAGAGACCTATCTGCATTTCCTTCAATCAGTCCCGCCTTCAATCAGTGGAGATTCTACCTTTCTCCACGCCCTCTGGATCTAGGTTCCCCCTTGAAAGCTTGTAAGCCAGTCACTTCTTGCCTTTGTAGCCCCCTCTTCCCCCGCCCCCCCATTTTTGGTAGCCAGTGTCCAAGTTGCCCATCCCTGTCTACTCTGTATGTGGAGGGGGTGGGAATGATCCTCACTGTAAAGATTTGTTCCCTCTTTTGAGTTGCTGCATCCATAGGTGTAGGTCAAGTTCATCAAATTGTATCAGATGACTTTTTCCCCTCTTCTTTCTTCTTCTAGTTGTGCTCTGATTACCCATCTCCATTCCTATCCTACAGTGCTACCCCAGGACTTCAGGCAGAAGACTAGAAGGACAAAATATTACTGAGGTAGGATTATGGGCAGGTTTGTTTCTGTGCTTTTTAAATTGCCCAAATTCCTCGCAATGAGAAATCCTAACATAATATTACCAAGTAGTAATTAGTACCTAGTGTGATGCTGTGGGTTAATGTGCTGGACTGCAAAGTCGCTTGAACTGCAAAACCAGTGGTTCAAGCTCATCAGCTACTCCTTGGAAACCCGATCCAGGGTCTCTGTGTGTGGGAACCAACTTGATGGCACTTAACAACAATTAGTACCTGGTGGCATACCAAATAGTTTATGTACATTTTCTCCTTTAATGTTCACAACTCTGTGAAAGAAATAATGTCTCTACTTTACAGATGAACTCCAAAAACTTCACAGTAACTCGTCCAAGGTCACAGTTAAGAAGTGAAGGTCCACAGGTTCAGAGCTGGTCTGGCTGGCTTTTCTGCCCACACTCTCCACCATCATGACACACAGACAGGACTTAGAACTAGTTCAGTCATGGACAACAAATCAAAACTGGTATGGACCCAAATTGCTAAAATGTGGGTGAACTGGAATGGGAAAAATCATGGGTTGACATTCTGCAAGAAATTCAATTCCCTCTTAGAAAGTAGGACAGTGTGCATGCATCTCAAAGAAATCTCTTGAATGGCAGAATAGGAAAAAGTGGTGCCCAGCTTAAAGGCTGTGGCCAACCAGTCCACTTGAATGTGGGCCACTTTCCACAATCCTTGCAATAATCCAATTGCCTGCAGCAGATTCCTTTTCTGAGCTTCCCATTCCAGGCCTTCAGCTCATAATGTGTTCCACTCCAAATATCATTCCGCTTCATCCAGATTTTTTAAAGTTGGGTCTGTACTGACTTGACTTCGTTAGCATCACTTTTATACCTCTTCAACTCTTGCCCCAAATGAAACCGGTTTGGGGAAATTTGGTAAAGTGTCCTGATTTGTTCCTCAGCTGACCTGTGTGTTTTTGAGTGTTTATCTGTGGTTGGGAAGGTGTTTGGAGGTGTGAAGAGTTGCTATGTATGGTTGAGTCGATTCTGACTTGTTCTGACCCTGTATAGGGTTTCCAAGGATTGGCTTGTGGGTTTGAAGTGCTGACCTTGTACATCCTACAGTGCCATATCAGGACCCCTTGTGGAGAGTAAAGTAAAGCCTCCTAAATTTCAGGCGACCACCAATTTACCCCAGCAAACTGCCTTTCCTTTTGTTTCTCGTGTTTTAATTTACTTTCTTCACAATCTATGCGCTGCTTTCCTGCGTCATATCTTTGCCCTGCCCTCTGTGCTTGTCGGTTTCATGTCTTGCGCTCACTCTCCACCCTTGTCCTGTGACTGTAACCAAACTTCCGAGAGTGGTTTCTTGTACCCTATCGAAGCTTGTGCAACAGAACCCTGATAGGAAGTGAGCAAGCTTCCTTTTCATGCCTGTGTATTCCCTTGTCTCCCAACTTACATGACTTATGACTCAAATCATCTAAAACATGTGCAAGTTTATGGAGAGTATAAAATGATTGCTTTAGTAATATTGTTTGTATTAAAATTGCTGTTTTGGTCTAGCCACTTTGACTAGTGATTCGGTTGGAAGCAGTGCTGATGATGGCCAAAGGCCAACCCAGCCTTTAGGGAGAGAAGGCTGGGTTCTTTGCTCAGGCATGTGACCTTGAGCAAGTGTTTAACTTCTCCAAACCTCAATTCTCTCATCAGTAAAATGGGGATAATAATTATCTGGGAAGTGAGGCTAATGTCTTTGGGTTTCCCACAGGGTTACTGTTGTAAAGATT